TGCAAGCTGGTGCTCGTGCAATCTTGTGCAGAGGCGTTTGCCCGTTTCACCAACATACCTTGCACCGCAATCTTGGCAAGGTATGCTGTGGACCACTGCTGATTGTTCCGTTGCAGGTAGCTGGTCTTTGGGCCTCATTATCTGCTGCCTGATAGTGGATTCCGGTTTATAGGCCACCCCAATCCCAAAAGGGCTCAGGATTCTTGCTGTCGCCTCAGAAACATTCCTCATGTAGGGGATTGCGAGCCAGAACTTCGGCTTCTCATCATTAGATTGTTCGCGGTTAAATCCTCTTCGGCACTCACGTATGAAGGATCGTGGGTAACCATTGGCTGTGAATAGGGAATGCAGGTACTTCACTTCCTCCCTTCTCCCGACGTTGTCATTACAGTGTGTTTGAACTCGTTGGAAAAGAGCTCTGACACAACTGCGTTTGTGACCGATGGGGTGGTTACTCCGGAATTGGAGGATGCGTCTGGTATTCGTTGCCTTTCGGTATACCGTAGTTCTGATCCCCCCATTAGCCATTCTTGTGATGTTTACGTCAAGGAAGGGCAACTGGTTGTTGTACTCCTCTTCCATTGTGAATTGGATGTCGGGGAATATTGAGTTCAACAACACTTTGAAGTCCTGAACGTCGTTCCTCTTGATTACTACAAATGTGTAGTCGACGTATCTGGCCCAGAATTTTGGGGAGTACGAACGGAAGACCAGTCGCTCGAGCCTCTGTAGAACAGCCTCGGCAATCAGTCCAGACAGCGGGGAGCCCATCGGTGTTCCCTTCTTTTGTTCGTAAACCCGGTTGTTGAAAGTGAAGAAAGTTCTGAGGCACAATTCCAGGAGTTCGATGACGTGCGTTCGTTTAAGCCGTTGATCAGTTTCATCGTACTTCTCCTGAAGAAGCTCGTTAATGGTGCTGATGGCAAGGTCCGTTGGAATGGAGGTGAATAAGGAGACCACATCAAACGATACCATCATCTCGTCTGACTCTATTTCTAGATGTCTGATACTCCTCAAAAACTGCTCAGCCGATTTCACCGTCCATTCGGAATCCCCGGTCAGGAAACGGAATCGTTGGTTAAGCCATTTCGACAGTCCAAAGGTCGGGGTGTCGCGTAATGAGACTATGGGGCGTAGAGGTACTCCCGGTTTATGCACTTTTGGCAGACCGTAGAAGCGCGCCATGGCGGCATCGGTGGCTTTTGCGGCCAGTGCTTCCTGCCTCTTGAGGGCTCCTGCCTTCCTTAACTTGTCTATCGCCTTGTTTACACTGTTCACGTGCTTCTTGAACTCTCCAGTCTCCGAAAGCTTATAGGCAACTTCGTCCTCCAACAGACCTTCCAGTTTCGTCGTGTACTCGGTCTTGTCCATGACAACCGTCGAGCGTCCCTTGTCGGCGGGCAGGGTGACGATATCCCTCATCTTCCGCATTCTCAGAAGTTCTCGGTCTTCTGCTTCGGAAATCACCCCTTGAGGTTTGTGCTGGAGGAGAAGAGTTCACACTTGTTGGCGCATGGAATTTTTGTACTCCTCGTTGGCTTCACACTTTTGAAGGGCCGACTCGAAGGATGCGATGAAATCTTCCGGTCGAGCATCTCTTGTGTTGAACTTAGCGTCATTGGATAAAACCTCCAGCTGTTGTTGTGTGAGGAGACGAGACAAGAGGTTGTGAACCAGGACACCGTCAGTAAAGGGCTCCATTTGTGGACGTATTCTTTCGAACTTCTCTAGCAATTGGTTGTCGCGCAACCTGCGGCGGCAACGTGCATTGCTGTGGTCCATGGCATCGCCTCTTTTTCTTCTTCGTCTTCTTTTGGGGATAATGAACAGGATAATCTATCTGGACCTCGAATCTTCACTCATGTTGATAAAGGAATGGGCGCACACTGATCAATTGGTTTCACGAAGCAAACAAGCTCCGTATGGGTGGCAAAGGTCACGAACAGGCAACCAATTACCAGGCCGAAGTCGGCCAAGTCATAAGAGCAGAAAAGGGCAACGTGCCGGACTTGCTAAAAAGCGCCAAGCTAAAGTATTAACTTGGAGAAGAGGGACGAGATATATGTCTGTGCAAACCTAAACTTTAAGAATAATCTGATTAAGATTTGCATAATTCAGGCCAAAGTTATGGCGAAATTTCGAGGGAAGCCACTTGGCCAGAGACTGCAAAATCCTAGCTGACATTTGAGTAGCCAACAAATGGAAACCAATTTATCCGGCATCATGGGAGACACAAAAGTGCAGATGGTCGTTCTTTAATAATTTCAGGTTTCTGAAAAGTGTGAAATTCAATTAACTTTCATGTTTACAGTTGATTTTTAATAAATGCACACTACATAAAAGTAATGGTTGTCTTCCGGAGTAAAATCGTTTTCATTCCTAAAAGGTTTTGGATTTGAGGGAGCAGATTTTACAGTCTAATCAAAATAAATGAGCATCTAACAATGTTTACTTATTGTCCGGATTCTTATACCAACGGCATAGATTAAAATCTTATGGCCATAAGCACGTGATCTCCCAAGCTGCACGTTTTTGACCCAGTCAACGTGCATAAAACCTATGGTGCTGAGAATAAACGCAATGATTCCTTAGCGGGTTAACAACCCAATCTGATTGCTATGTTATAATTTGCATTGATCTTTTGACAGTGTGGTCAGCATCCATAGCTTGGCCACCATCTGATGGTGAGTAAAAAATTGGTTTTGAATCCTCTGAATCTATATCACAGGGTTAATATTGCGTTTTATCAATTCCAAACATGTCTGTCACAAATACCACGAAACTTGTTCACCTTTTTACTGAGAAGTTCCCCCATAATTTAATAGGCACAGCCCTAACTTTTCCATAATTATAATTTTTTCCTTTTCTAAAATTTTAGGGAGCCATTATGCTGATGCAATTAGCGCTGTGAGTGGTTCAAGAGTGGAACTGCCGTGTCATATTGACATGCCCTTGACAAACGAGGTAACTTTCTTTTGTTAATGGCACCCATGAAAGATTTATCTATGGAGTGGTTGACCTCTAGCCACCTTGAGGCTCTGGCTATCGATATGTCATGCAGCCGTTGCTTACGATCTTCAAGCAGTAGGACAAAACGAAGATAGCGGCTGACTTAATTTTAAACCGAAAGAAGTCACTCGGGTCCCTTGTATTTCACGTGCCTCCTCGATTATTAACTGAAAAGTTGTGTAAGTGCGAAGATGGTTTTCTTTTAACGGAACTTTCCTCAAGGAGTACTGGCGCCCCACTAGTGATATAGCCCAAATTACTATTTTTATAACGATATCGAGTAAGATAAGTGATTCATGCTTGGAGCGGAGAAAGTGGAAATGAGTCAATAAATTTCACGAACACAAGGTAATCGTTGCATCTGCAGAAAGGAACTCGTAATCTAAATTTATTTGCGTTGATAAGAAAAGGTGAAACTGCGTTGCCATAGTAGATTAATAAACTACAAGTTACTTCGTGTACAGTGATCAACGTAGGAGAAAGTAGAGCGATTTCTGGCGAGGATGGTTTAAGCATCTGACGTTTCGCACTCGTACGTAAGCGCATCTTCGAACATAGACGAAAATGGAAAATGCATGGTTTGAATGAGTCTTGCTTACTCCTGATAGGTCTAGACAAGCTATCTTCTCATTGGTCGTCTATTAGTGCACAAGTAGTGCCTGGTGGACACTACGGCGCTAGTAACCCGAACTTGCGATTGACCGACGTGGCGCCAGGCGTCAGGCTCTAATTATTTTCCTCGTCAGTTTACTTTCAGCTCGGCCGAGTAAACGGACACTGTCAAACCGATGATTATTCTCCAGACTGTGCATGTCGACATAGGATCGCAGATCTCCTAGCTTTACAGTTAAATGATGTTTACGCACGCGTGCTATTATTTGTTCGTCGGTCCTGCCGCAGTAGCTGGCCCGTCAGTCTAGTTAGTTGGCGCAGAAAATAAAGTCTGAAGTGTGTTCAGGCTGCAGCCGACCCTTGAGCTGCATGAACGAACAACGGATAGCGGCATCCGGACAGTGTCCAGCGCCTATTTCGAGTTGCGTTTGCGTGCGTTCAGAAACGCCGCTCACGTAGAAAACTGCATGGAGGGTTTCAGGTCTTCGTTTTAGCTCACCATTAGTCTTTGTGCGTCTTTTGGACAAGCATTTGTTTATGAAACTAAGTGTGTATCAGTTGGCAAGGAGGTGTCATAGGGACGTCCGCTCTCAAAGCTTTTCGGATTCTGTGCTGCAGTGTATGTTGCGGCGGAAAATGACGGTCGGGACGCAGCTGTATTGTTACCGGGGATAGTTGCATTTGTAATGGACGTTTTTCTTCAGGTTTATCTCTGTTCGAGAGAGACCAGTGTGCACGGTCCGGTGTTCTGGCTTCGATACCTGGAAATCGAGGAATACGAGAGCTTTGTCCTTTGCTTCCATTGTAAATCGAATTTGCGGGAAAATAGAGTTAAATTCTTTTTTAAAGTTCTCCCTCGTATCTCAGCGTAAAACAGTATATTCAGCACCCAGATCTGTGGCTTTTGAACTGAAGGACCCGAGCTACCCGTTCTTGCGGGATCGCTTCTGCCACGTACCAGAAGAGGGGGGATCCCATCGGGTTTCCCTGGACTTGCTCGTAAATATAGCCATTAAAGGTGAAGTACTTGCGTAAGCAATTGTCCAGCGGCTTCATCGCGTGCTTCATTTTAAAAGATTTTCCACTTTCGTCGCACATTCCTTTAGTAGGCAAACGACTTTTTCATGGTCAATTCGTTAAGGATGAAGGGGAGCAGAAAGGCGGCGTCAAACGACACCGTCATCTGGTTGAAAGTTATTGTGATGCCTCTGAGTTTCTCCAGAAAATAAATCGAGTTTACGACATTGCGTTCCGAGTCTTCCGTCAGCTCCTTCAAATATCCGGCATGCCATTTAGCTAATCCGTAGGCAGATGTGCATTTCAGCACCACGATTTACCGTACGGTAATTTTGGGTCTGTAGATTTTGGCGTTAAGCCGGAATCGCACCGTCTCATTTTCCTCCAATCGTTCTTAGATATTGCCTTATGGTCCCTCACTAGGTTCAGGCTCTAGATAATTTTGCCTACGAAATTTTCTATGAGGCCATTGTCGACGATTTAATATCACTGACTGTCGCTAAGTGGCACCTAAATTCTTGTCGAATACTTGTACTTGTCCATCACACTGTCGTGTCACGGGTTTTTTTAGTTTTGCTTTCAAAACCTCAAACAACAATCTACTCTGAGCTTTTCTTTTTTGTCAACTTGTGAGAAAACAGTGGAACGCCGACTGAAACATACAGTAATTCGTTCAGACGACTATACTGTCAGCAAAAACGGCTGCAGTCCTATTATAATCCTCTTTATTAGTTTCAGTAGACTGCCAAGAACCATAGTCCAAACGATACGTTCTAGTTTCGTATAATTTTTCAGGTCTGCATCACCCTAACTGCTTAGGTGCATCTACCATAAGCGATAAGTCTCTGAATTTCCGTACACCAGAGGAAAAGTTGGAAGTGTTGAAAATCGTAAAAATCATGGTGAAAAATGAAATGAATATGGCAAATGCCTCATAAATCAAGTGCATTTAGGTCTTCCATGCTGGTTCAAGAAATGTGACTTCTGGAGATATTATGCGACAGAATCAGTTAATATATATTTATTAGTTGGCAGGTGTGCTATGATCACGCTTTTTAATATTGACTCACCTGGTTGCGGAAAAGAGGACTTATAAGCTCTGTCCGAAATCACCCTATTTGAAATCTTTATTTGTACTATCCATTGATTCCCCGTCAAAACGGGCAAAAACCTAAAAGCGCATGGGTGCCTCATTGTTTTAGGGAAGGCAAAGAAGAATGCTTCGCAACCATGTACACACTGTTACTGTCAGCACTAAATAGAAATGAGTTACGCAAGGGATCCTAATTTGCTTCTGTACCTTCTTCACATCAGCATAGGTTTAGGAAACACGGGAAAATACATATTATTCTTTTTACATATACAGGGGAGCTGTTACACACAAATGCCGCTAACAGCAAACGGACAATGTAGGCTGCAACTGACCACCTTGTAGTCAGGATGCGCAGACAGATAGGGCTTTCTTCTGCCGAAAGATACCAATTGATCGAGCACAAAGCGTGATTTTTTAGAGTAATTTTAAGGCTTGAATTTTAATTTTTTATGTCCATAGCTAATTATCAACTTTGCCAACACTTTGATTTGTGCTCCCGAAATAGAAACTTTTAAGGTTGAACATCTATACTTGTCGCATTTGATCAGTTCATTACTTCTAAGAGTGAAAAGCAGCCTGTGACAGGAATGATTTTCTTTAAATCTCTTAGTAAAAGGACTTTGAAATCAGCACAACAAACGTTGCCAAAGCAGTACCTGTCTTTGTAAAGCATGCCTTTTAAATGCTCGATTGCAATATTCCTTATTTCATTTTGAACGACATAATGCATACCTATGGTACTTTATTGCTTTGCCCGATGTTAGCATAATAACTCTTAATAAAATCGCGGGAATAGGAGTTACTAAATTTGGATCCGGTTTTGATGGGAAATTTGAATTTAGGACCATAAAGTATAACGAAATAGTAACGAAGTGGAAATCCTTCTCTACTTAATGGTTTTATATATTTGGAAGTCCTCTTGAGCTATTGACACGCAGAAAATAAGCCAACCCCCGCCGACGTAGCTAGC